GCGGACACCTGGCAGCTAATGGTGATGATAGACAAGGAGATAAGTGCTATAACACAGGTACAAACAGAACGCTACCCGCACACATGGGGTCAACATTCTGACATGGGATTTGAGATGGGCTGTGTAGGAGACTTCAGGCTAAGGGAACTGTAGGCAGGAAAAAACAAAAACAAAAAAAAACATGGCAGCCAGAAGTGTTCCAGGGAGTGGCGAGCACTCTTCTGTGGTGGACTATGGGAGGAATACAGGACAGAGATATAAAGAAAATTAGGATTGGATATAGAAGACTCTAGGTCTTGCCTTTAAGGGGGGAAGCTGAGCCAGCAGGATTTGGAGGTTCACTGGCCATGATGGGTGAGAGTAGTGGATTGAATGGTGTCCCCTCAAAATTCGTGTCCACCGGAACCTCAGAACGTGACCTTTTTGGAAATAGGTTCTTGGCAGATACAATTAGTTAAGGACCTCAAGGTGCAAGATGAAATCACACTAGATTTAAGATGGCCTGGGGGCGCCTGGGTGGCGCAGTCGGTTAAGCGGCCGACTTCAGCCAGGTCACGATCTCGCGGTCCGTGAGTTCGAGCCCCGCGTCAGGCTCTGGGCTGATGGCTCAGAGCCTGGAGCCTGTTTCCGATTCTGTGTCTCCCTCTCTCTCTGCCCCTCCCCCGTTCAAGCTCTGTCTCTCTCTGTCCCCCCCCAAAAAATAAATAAATAAACGTTAAAAAAAAAAAAAAATTAAGATGGCCTGAATCTAGTAACTGGTGTCTTATAAGAAAAGGAGAGGACACCCAGAGAGAAGAGGGTGATGTGAAGACACCGGTAGAGACTGGAGGGAGGCAACCACAAACCAGGGAGCCCCTGGGGCCACCAGAAGCTGGAAGAGGCAGGGAAGGGTTCTCCCTGGAGCCTTCCGAGGGAGGGCAGCATTGCCAACACCTTGATTTCAGACTTCTGGGCTCCAGAACTGAGCAGGTAAACTGCTGCGTTATACTACCCTGCCTGTACCAATTTGCTACGGCAGCCCCAGGAATCTCATACAGTGCAGGGAACATTCTAATTCAGTATGGACCTTTCAGTTTGGACCCTTGCTGGGGATGGCCGGCGGGGAGCTGCATACGTGAGAAAAGCAGGTGGGGTTAGACGTCAGCTTGGGAGGCAGCCAGATAACATGGTCTAGGAAAAGTGAGGGGCAGATGAGATTCCCCAGGGGAGAGGGTTTGGTGCAAGAAAATAGGGCAGAGGACAAAATCCGAGGGGACCTCTCCATTGAAGGGGTGGAGGAGGGAACGGAAGGCAGAGAAGGAACCGCTTTCCAGAAAGGTGGAATTCTGGACTCCTACCGAACAGGATAGAGAGTTCCTCAGGGTGTGGACGACAGGGAAGCGATGTTTGTTTGAAAATTCTTTGACTCTCGGTTGTTTCCATACCCTGTTGCTCTGGTTGAGAAGAGGTGAGAGGTGAAAAAACAGCAGAGCATGGGCTACTTTTTAATAGAGTTTGATGGGGAGACAAAGGGAAATGGAATTAATTGTGGATGAAGGAAGGAACATCACCAAGGGTACTTTGATACTAGTTTTTAAGGAAGATGACACCTTTCATGATATTTTTAGGCTGCAGGCAGGAAGCAGGGAGAAGATGCAAGTAATCGATGGAACAAGTTTCCAGGGAAGAGACTTAAAATTTTTTGCTGTGCACCTGCTATGTGCCAGGCACTGTGCTGGGGGTTACTGGAATGATCTCAGTGATCTTCTCAACACTCCTACAGAGTAGAGAAGGGTGGTCTCCCTTCTGTTGCGAGGAAACTGAGGCCGGGAATGCCAAAATAATTTGCTCGAATCCATACATCTCAGATTCGAGCCTGGGTCTGCTGCCCTCACTGCTTCAGTCCTTGTCGTTACATTATTTTCCACTGGAATACAGAAAGCAACATCTTTGTCTGATTCACAAGGAATAAGAAGCAGCATATAGAAATAAGCAGATTAGTGGGGCGCCTGGGTGGCGCAGTCGGTTAAGCGTCCGACTTCAGCCGGGTCACGATCTCGCGGTCCGTGAGTTCGAGCCCCGCGTCAGGCTCTGGGCTGATGGCTCAGAGCCTGGAGCCTGTTTCCGATTCTGTGTCTCCCTCTCTCTCTGCCCCTCCCCCGTTCATGCTCTGTCTCTCTCTGTCCCAAAAATAAATAAACGTTGAAAAAAAATTTTTTTTTAAAGAAATAAGCAGATTAGCAGTGGAGGAGAGGGAAGTTGTTGGTGTTTCTATCACATGGCCTCGTTAAACTATGAATCAAAATTACTAGTTGCGAGGGAGGAAGAGGGAAGCCCGCAGACTTCTCTAGACCTGGGTGATCTAGAGAAGGGAAGGGATTTATGACAACCTCAGTAGTGAGACACAACAGGAAGCCAGCCAGGGAGAAAGAAGAACCTTGCTTAATCACCGAGGCTGTACTAGGATTAGTGGGCTGGGTCTTTAGGGAAGTTAACCTGTGTAGGGCAAGCAGAACTCGGTCTCGAGATAGACTTCTAGCCGGAAAGTTTTTAGTGATCTTTCTGGAAATGCCCCAGGCCAGAGATCCTCCACATTCAGAGGCTGAGACACCAGCCTCTGGGGCTCTGAGAACCAGCCATCAGATAGCCCCTGGAGATTATCAGTCCCGAACCCGGTGCTATAGGGGAAGACCTTGACCAGCCCAGAGTTGACCTGTCCGATCCGGGTTTTCCCCGCTGCCTCACCGGAGCCAGGTGTGCTCCCTGCCTCTGGCAAGATTGCCATTCTGATATGAAAATAACCTAAGCCCTTGACTCAAAAATAACAGCATCTGCTAATTTGCATAAGAGTTTTGCATTTCATATTTGGGTTGAATACCCGGATTCATTTGTTTGACCTTAGTTAAGTGGTTTAGAGTTTCAACCGATAAAAACTCCTTGTGGGGTTCCACTCTGATGCACCCGGACCCAGCTCCCCACCCAAGACGGCTCTGTTCTCTCGCCATCTGGCTCTGTGCACGCATTAAGTTGATTCTCAGATGAATTATGGGTTAAAAAGGACCGATCAGTTTGCCGGAAGGCTTGACATTTTTAAAAGGGTCTTGGCAGGTGCATCTCTCCAGGTTCACATGTCAAGAGCTCTGCCATGGGGTTCTGAGCCGCTCCGATTCCTCCAGGGCCTCGATTCATGAGGAGCAGCCCCTCCTTGGAACCCCCAGGGACAGAGGGTGTGAGGGCAGCAACTGTGGAGTGAGAGATTTGAGAGGAGACAGCAAAGAAGGTGTTAATGAATAATCTCAGAGCCTCATTCTCCATAAAGGCAATTACTGGGATTGATTGTTTCTGTGTTTCCTTAGTCACGGTTCAGTTTGCGTGTTTCACTTGGATTGAGACAGATGAACGCCGAATGCACACAGTCACGTGATGTCAGAATTATCAATGGCACGTCCAAGGCCTCTGCCTTCCTGTACACATGCCACTGGGGTTCTCAGCTAGGCTGAAAGGGGATCCTAGACTTGGGGGGATGAAGCACGTGGGGTGAGGGATTGGGGACTAATGGATTTTAGATAATGCACTGTTTTCTCCCCATGCACGGGGTAATGAGGTGGTTTTCCAGTGCAAGCCCACATCTGCATCCCCTGGATGGCTTGTGAAACACAGATGCCCGGGCACCTTCCCTGGAGTTTCTGATTCAGTGGGTACGGGGTTGGGCCCAAGAATTGGCATTTCTGACAGGTACTGCTACAGGTGTGGAGACCCCACTTTGAGAACCAGCTTGGGGGCAGGGGTGATGAAAAGCAAGGACACTGGGACCAGGCCACTAGCCTTGCTATCTTGATGCTACTGTTGACGAGCTGTGTGATCACGGGCCTAAGTTTACTTAACCTCTCTTTGCCTCCATGCCGTCGTCTCTAAAGCAGGGCTGATAACAGTAGTATCTACTTCATGGCATAGTTAGGAGGAATAAATGAACGAGCACTTGGACATACTTAGACTGGTGCCTGATATAGAGAATATGTGCTCTGTGCACGTGGGGTAAATAAATGAAAGCCAGACTCAGGATTGTGAGCCTGTCGGCAGGAGTCTCATTTCTCCGACACCTGCAGCTCCCGGTGGAGTTGCCGGGTCATTTTACCTATTAGGCCTTCAGTCCCATCTCTGGTGGCCGAGGAAGTCACTGGCCAGCTCAGTGGCAGCAGGAGGGAGGTTACGTCAACATCCATCAAAAGCCTCTTCTCAAGTCCCCTTAACCCTTGAAGTCCACTTAATGCACACAGTGTGGTTCAGTGAGACGGGGATGGTAGGACAGAGTGTTTGGGGGTTTTTCCCCCTCGTGCTGGCAAAAAGGGGGGCTGCCTTTTCCATCAAGCTTACCGCAATCAGTTGCTGTCATTTGCGGAATGCCTCCTCTGCGCCCGGCACTTACACGACTTACACACGTGATGACTTAACCCCCAGAAAGTCACTCCTGGGTAATAGTTATTATCCCCATATTAATACTGCCGCGGCTCAGAAAAATTAAATGACTTGTCCAAACTCACGTAGCTATCCAGTCATAAATTCGAAACGAAAAGCCAGGTGTGTCTGACTTCGGTAATCCCATACTAACTACCTCCCTTGCTTTATGGGAATACTCACGTGAAGGTGAAGGCTGGGTCCCCAGCAGTGACAGCTTCTCGCCGCAGAGGTCAGCACCCCGGGACCGGACCTGCCTCTGTTTCAGGGGTTCGCTTTTCTAAAGCCTGTGGTAGGACTGACAGAACGTAGTCTTTCTGGAAATGGACAACGTGCCTTCCATTGCTTGGTCATTCTCTCCGGCCCGGCTTCTGGATGTGATTGTGTTCATGTTGCCAAGGGCGGCTTTTCTGTCCGAATTTGGATGTTGACCTAGTATCTTAACATTGCTGATCGAGAATGGTGCTCCCGACGTGATGGTCAGGAGAGCCTCCAGCGGCTGTACTGAGCGTGTAAAGAGAGGAAGAATGGTATGCTAATGAGACTTTCCTTTTTTCCCCCCGTAGTGTTCCTTTCTGCCAAAATTCTCCATTCATATAGAAACCAAGTATGAAGACAACAAAGGAAGCAACAACCACGTGAGTAGAGCCCCCATGGTTTTGGGGTTTTTTTGATAATTTATTGTCAAGTTAGCTAACATACTGTGTCTACAGTGTGCTCTTGGTTTTGGGGGTAGATTCCCATGATTCTTCGCTTACATACAACACCCAGGGCTCATCCCAACAGGTGCCCCCCTCAATGCCCATCGCCCATTTTCCCTGCCCCCCCACCCCCTACCCCCATTAACCCTCAGTTTGTCCTCTGTTTAAGCGTCTCTTGTGGTTTGCCCCCTCTCTGTTTGTAACTTAGTTTTTCTTCCCTTCCCCTATGTCTTAATTTTCTCAAATTCCACATGAGTGAAAACATGGTATCTGCCTTGCTCTGACTGACTTATTTCACTTAGCATAATACCCTCCAGTTCCATCCACATTGTCGCAAATGGCAGGATTTCATTCTTTTTGATTGCCGAGTAATACTCCATTGTATATATATACACCACATCTTCTTTATCCATCAGTGGACATTTGTAGAACCCCCCCATTTTGTACTGTGCCCTCATCCGCTGGGCTCTCAGAGTCGCGGCACTTTTCACAGCCCCTTGGGTGGCCAGGCCCAGCACCCAGCAGGAGGATCTGTACCTAGGACCCCAGACAAGTTCTGGCATTTGCTTTCTGGGGCCATTTCCCTGGGATTTCTCCCTGGAATTACTTTGCAGTCCCGCCTTTCTTCCCATCTTTATGTACTTTCCATGGGCCTCCGTGCGGAAATCTCTGTGGCCTGGAGTGGTTGTCACTGGCATTTGAGGGGGTCGGTGGGGACCTTGAACTCCAGGATTCGGTTTCTGGTCATTGGATTGAGCATACGTCTTCTCAGTGACTGTTCACATTTACCTAGAAAAATGAATGCAAGCAAATATATGTGCGCATGCTGTATATTTGTTCGGGACTATGCTTATATTCACATATATACACACATATCCCACATTAAAATCAGTTTACCCCTCCTGCAAAATACTTACCTTGTGGGACGTTCTGACTCTTACTAGATCTCAGCCATGAAGTTGATTAGTATTGCTGAGAATCCATCTGACCTAGCATTTACACCAGCCTCTTTCTGTTGGGGCAATATAATTTTGAATTGCCTTCTCTTGGGGAGTGGATGTTTTGACCTGTCGAGAGCCTCACCCTGAGATTGGGCTATGGGTTCCATCGGGATCCACTCGGGGAAGAGCCTGGATCGAGAAGCTACACGTCTTCTTCTACGTCACTTACGTGTTTTGCATTTATGGAGAATGATAAAGACCGACACCGGGTCATAACGGTCAAGAGAGAGTTTCCTGACTAGGTGATCCCTGTGGTGCCTTGACACAGCCAAGGGAATGCAAAACAGGATGCAGGAAGTTGTGGAGGGAACGAAGTGCCACGAGGCAAGATCTAAGGACTCCTAAGCATCAGCAACTTGAAATCTTTTATTCATGTGAAAACAGTCACTGAAAAGAACTAAGAAACCCTTTAGAAAGAACAGAGTTGGCCAGGCCTACTCTTGGCTCTTTACATTGATGTCTTCTAGAAATATCTTCTAGAAAGGTCCTGCCTGTGGCAGTAACAAATTCTTCTAGAAGGTATAGGTGTATTTGTGGGGAACACAGCTTGCCCTTTCAAGGTGGAATCTGCCTGGACAGAGCGTGAGTGGTTCCCAAGGGGCGTCACTCAAGAACTACCTTTCACACCAGCTTGGTGTGGGAGGAAACTCATTTATTCACTCAGTCTTCAGCAAGGGCGTATCAAGCACCTTCTATTTACATGTCACTGTATGAATTGTATGCATGGTATTAAAAAAATGCAGGCTCAATTCTCAAACGTCAGGTACTCCTACTTTAGCTGGGGGAAAAACCAACAGAGTAAATAATTTAAAATATAAGCACAATAATGGGCTTCCCTTCCTTCAGTATAGAGAGCCACCACTGCTAAGCTCTGAGAGTGGAAAGAGCTGACAGAGCAGCATTCCGTAATGAGCCCTGTACAGTTGTCCCCCCCATCGCTGGAGAGGAAAAATTCATTCCAAGACCCCCAGGGGATGCCTGAAACCACAGATAATACCGAACTGTATATATACTGGTTTTTTTCTTACATATATGTACCCATTATAAAGTTTAATTTATAAATTAGGCACAAATAAGAAATCAACAACCGCAGTAATAAAATAGAACAATATAACAATATTCTTTAGCTTTTACTAAAGCTAATAATAACTTTTATTATATGAATATGATCTCTCTCTCTCTCTCTCAAAATATCTGATTGTTCTCAGCCTTTTTGTGATGATGTGAGGTGATAAAATGCGTACATGATGAGATGAAGCGAGTTGAATGATGTAGGCAGTGACGTAACCATTAGGCCGCTATTGACCTTTTGGTGACGGGTCCGATGGAGGTTCATCTGCTTCCAGACCACGGGTGACCGTGGGTAACCGAAACCGCGGAACGCGACATGCGGACAAGGGGATATTACTATATTTGCAGGGACTGACTTGGCTTGTACCAGGTCACTTCAGCTTCCTGAACTAAGTTAAGAAACCTGGAGTTTATCAGGGGTCAGCAAACTACCTTTTTTGTCAATAAAGTTTTATTGGAGCACAACCACACGCTCACTCATTTGTGTATCATCTAAGCTGCTTTCATGCTACAACAGCAGAGTTTTATAATTGCAACAGAGCTCATGTGGCCCATAAAACCTAAACTATTTACTACTTGAAAAATGTTTGCTCACCCCTGGTTGGAGGGACTCACATCAGAACAGCACCCAGCAGATCTCAGAATTTGACCACTTGATAGATCTCACCATCTGTCCCAGCCAAATGCCCTCTCCAGAATTCCTGGAACTTTCCAGAGGAGAGAGGAATGCCACTGGCTGGGGTACCTTCCCCCCATAAGTTCAAGATCTCCAATGGTTAGCGTCCCTTGGTGGTTGGTAACCTCAAAGGAAAAGTTTTGGGCCATATCCCTGTCAGCAGCCTGAAATAAAAGGTGCTGTGGTGGCCAACTACATTAAAACCTCAATGTCTAAAATAATGTTACATCGTACTTAAACTTGAACCCTTGGTAAAATAAGGACTCTTCTCTCTCTCTCTCTCTTTTTTTTTTTAATGTTTATTTATTTTTGAGAGACAGAGAGAGACAGAGAGACAGAGTGTGAGGAGGGGAAGGGCAGAGAGAGAGGGAGACACAGAATCTGAAGCAGGCTCCAGGCTCTGAGCTGTCAGCACAGAGCCCGACGCGGGGCTCGAACTCATAGACCCTGAGATCATGACCTGAGCCGAAGTCGGACGCTTAACCGACTGCGCCACCCAGGCGCCCCAATAATGACTTTTCTGATTGGAAAATTAATACATGGTTATTAAAACCTGGAAAATGCAAAAGGGTACCCCCCCAAAAAAGGAAAAGAAAAGCCAGTAATTTTTCTGTAATTTAGAGATTACTGCTGATAGCACTTCATGTTCATGTTGCAGACCATTAATAAATTTATTTTTTGACCAATTCCCCCAATATTGAATCACTCAGTAGACTGTTTTTAACATGTCGTGATGTATCCTTCCCTATATGATTTTTAAAAATTTTTTTTTAATGTTTACTTATTTTTGAGAGAGAGAGAGAGAGCAAGCGAGCATGAGCGGGGTAGGGGCAGAGAGAGAGGAAGACACAGAATCCGAAGCAGGCTCCAGGCTCTGACCTGTCAGCACAGAGCCCAATGCGGGGCTCGAACCCGTGAACCGTGAGATCATGACCTGGGCCGAAGTCAGACACTGAACTGACTGAGCCACCCAGGCGCCCCTTCCCTGTATCATTTTTAATGGCTGCACTGTATTCCACACTTAAGCGTACTTGAAATGGGCTCGACCTTTTTGATGTTTCCATGTGGCTGAGGACCATCAGGAAACGGGTGATACAGAGCAGACGTGCCTGCACTGCGTTAAGCAGCACAATCTGAAAATAGGGTGGGGGAGAAATGTTTTCAAATATCTTTCAGTCTTTACAAACAAATTCTCCTGCTTTCTCTTTTCCTCTATGGCTCTGTCCTCATGAGCAGATCGTACCTGCGCCATTCGGAGAGGCGTGAGGGCATGCGCAGGCTCACCATGATCCCCATGGGTTGATAGGACCAGCGTGATCTTCTGGTTTATTCTCTCTGCTGAATTCAAACAGTCAAAAAGCATGTCCATGGCTGTCATTTTATTATCTCGTATCCCTTTGTGGTAGGTGCTGCGTTCTTTTCACTACTCTGGTAGGACTTTGAAATCCCAGGTTAGCCACCCTAAAGTCAGGACCCGGGGTTGGCATCAACATCCTCTGTCCTTGCCCTCGGAGACCTGGGCCGGTCCACACGAGAAGCGCTAAGCCCCCGGGCACTCGCATGCAGTCCTTGTCAGCACAGTTTGCTGCCTCCAGGAGAAACGCCAGCTGTTGTCCCCTGGATTGCCGCCTCCTCCCCAGCCTGCTGACGGCCCGTGGGGTCCTGGGCTTCATCTCTCTGTCATGGCGCCCAGCTTGTCTAAGCTCCCACCCCAGCCTCTGCCTGGCTCCACTCCATAGATCCCCAGGTCTTGCTTGAGACCAGACAGGCCAACCCTGGCCTGATTAGACTTCTTTGCCCGTCGCCTTCCTCCGATTTCCATATTCAACAGCAGCTGTTGGTCGCCAGCTGCTTCAAGGTTGGTCCCAGGGAGGCGGCAAAGGAAGACTTCATTGGTTTTCATTCACACTTGTTAATGCTTCAAAATCAGAACGTGACAAATACATATTTATGTAATAATACTTAAACTGTTAAAGGATAGCTTTGTCCGGGGGTTCAAAGCTAGAGCCTTCAGCAGATGGTGTGCGCTGACATGTCCTTTTTCTGTCCGGGGAGCCGAACGGAGTTGTTGGTGGGAGGCATAGCTAGCTGCTAGAGAAAGTAGCAGAGTCGTGGGCTCTTTCTCTGGTCTCACTGCTTTGCCAAATTATTTAATAAACTCAGTGTATTTCTTGGCATCTTCTGAGCGT